TGATAGGCAGGATGTGGTGGAACTTGGTGGGTGTGACTGGGTCTTGCTGGTGTGCCTCAAAATCAGAGGCACAAGCCCAAGGGTTGGGCCCCCCATTTTGTAGAGTAGGGAATGTGGCCAGTGGTGACCAAGACTAGGCAGGTGGCTCAAGTAGCTTTGATAGGCAGGATGTGGTGGAACTTGGTGGGTGTGACTGGGTCTTGCTGGTGTGTTGACTGTTGTTGATGATTTTCAATTGCATTCATCTTCACTACTCAATGAGTACCTGATTTCTGCATGGCATACCATTTTGTAGCAATCAGTGACCTTGGGCCCCCCCATTTTGTAGCATTGGCCTAGCCCTTCCCTACAAAACGGGTCCATATTTTTTAGAGTCATTTTGTACGGATGGGACGTTGGTCGCTGTCATTTTGTAGTGATATTTACTACCAAATAGGGACCCCGACGCCTCACCCTGAATATCAACGATGATCCTAAACGCAAACGGTAAGAGGACGATGCAACCATGGACCATGAACCCAAACCAAGACCGGACTTTTAAAGAGAAAAAGGACAGAAGAAGGAAACACTTACCAGTTCCAACAGAGACAACACTGGAAAGAAGGCGGACGAAAGAGAAGGAAAGATAGACGGAAAAGAGAGAGAGAGAATCAAACGGAATAACTTAACGTAGAGACTCCTTGCCCCCATTCGCAATCTGTGTTTCAGGGCTTGAGCATGCTTCGAAAAGTGGTCCGCGATGCCCTGGATGGGATGCTTTGCGGCGTTTTGAACAACCGCCTGTGGATTTTTTTTTGCCTGTTAGTCTTTCCTTTCTTTCCTTCCTTCCCTCCCTTCCCTTCCTTCCCTGTCCTTTCCTTGACTGTTTTTCCTTTCTTTTGTATTGTAAAACAATGGTTTCCAGCAGAAAACCGTCTGACATTTGGATGCGTATGCGTGCACTTGAAGGCGCCCTCAGGTACATGTGCCTGCCACCCACATTTGCGAATATGTTCATGAATGCAGGTGTCTCAAGAGAATGCGCAATGGTAGACCAGGGGTTCGTCGCACAAGTTGTGTTTAGGTCAGGGTGCCGTTGTGTGGGGTGTTTACGCGTCAGCGCAAACATTCACATGGAAGCAGGCGCCTTGAGTAGATGGAAGTCGGCAACCTTTTGTGGTGCTGTTGTGTAGCCGGACTCTTTTAGAAAGTGGGTGGTGGCGTTGAGCTGCGCTTCCACGCAGTGTGTTTGGAAAGTACAAATGTTCATAAGCGCGAAACTTGTTCATGGACACTACAGTATGTCTCTTGACGTTGACAGTGATGGTAGCAGAAAACCAACAAAACCAGCAATGTAAAAGAAGTGTTTTTGGTCTGCGTGCAAGACTCTCAGAAGGAAGAACTCTCCGTGGTTTGCGCACTGTCGGAGTGTAGTTTAACGTACTGCGCTTTGCCTTGTTGGCGGCAGTCAAGAAGAAGCAGCAGCAGTGATGGTGGTGGTGCGGCGGTGGCAGTGGAAGTAGAGGTAGAAGAAGAAGCAGACGACGAAGAAGTACCAGACTACTAGTAACTAGTAGTGAGTAGTTGTGCCACGGTGCATAGACGGCCGTGGTGTTTCGTCCGCTTTTGCGTTTTCGTGCGCTATTTACAGTCGTTTTGTCATGGACGGCTCATCAATATACTATACCGAGAGACTCCTGACCTTCTGGAATAATTTTGACACAGAACAATATTCATCAACGTGGCCATCAATCATGGTTGAGGGGGGTCTGGGGAACAACGTCAAGGTATGTCAAGGTCACTTCGCGCAATACGTCAGCTTGAGTTGTTCAGATGTTCACGCCCATAAAAATATGTTTTGATTGTGCGCAGTAAGGGCGGAAGACATCGGGAAATTGTTTGAATAGTTCTTGTGCGCGTATTTGTTCTTGGTCACGCCTCTGCATGTGGGCTCATAAACAAGCAAAGAGCCGATGTTTGATGAGGTGGTTCCGTGCGTCGTGCGCGTACTTTTTTGGCGGCTGATCTTCTGCAGAGATATGGAGGGGGTAAGCCCTCTTCCGGAATACTATCCAGCTGTACACCCCTACGAGTAATTTCCAGCGTACGTGTACCCTACCACGACAGTGCCTTTATTTTCCGACGTTGGGTCCCTCGTCATTTGTATCAATAGTGGCCCCCC